TTTTAGGATCAAGATCTTTTAACAGTTTATTGACCTCACTGACTGAGAATGGAGAAAAAGAGAAGCTGTGATTAACTGAGGATTGACTTGTAGGAGGGATTTGATTTGTAGAAGTTTGGTTATTAAGTGAAGTGGCTGATCTTCCATTAGTGACTGTGTCAAATAAAGAACCAGAAGCAACAAAATGTTTGTTGAAACAGTTCAGGATCTCGTGCTTATTTGACACAGAAACAGAGTTAACTAGAAGTTGTGATGGGAGGTCAGATGATTGGGGGGTGCCTGAGAGAGATTTGATGGTTTTCCAGAATCTGTTAGGGTCATTTAGATTTTTGGAGGTCTCAGATAAGAAATAGTTGCGTTTTGCTGCTTTGACAGAAGTTGTGCATTTATTCCTCATCTGTCGAAAACTCAACCAATCAGTGTCTGAGCCAGATTTTCTCGCTGCGGCCCAAAGATGGTCTCTCCTGTGCAGGAGGTCAGCTAGCTCTGGAGTAAACCAGGGGCTGTCTCGTCCCTTTATTCTGAACTGACGAAAAGGAGCATGTATGTTCAGGAAATAAATGAAATTATTATGGAAATAGTTCCAAGCGGAGTTCACGTCATCAGTTAACAGAATACGATGCCAGTCAAAGTGAGACAGATCCCAGAGGAATGACTGTTCACAAAAACGTTTCAAATCCCTTTTTTGAATTAATCTGGGCTTAGAAGGTGGAAGTTTAATATCTCTCAAAGCAGCTGTCACACAGTGATCACTCAAAAGATCAGCGAATATACCTGTACCAGGGAATTAAGACTAGTTAAGACTCTGGCAGCAGCATTTTGGATCAACTGAAGACATTTTAAAGACGTATTTGGACATCCAGATAATAAACCATTGCAATAGTCCAGTCTAGACGTGACAAATGCATGGACCATTTTTTCTGCATCATTTTTAGAAAAGATGTTTCTAATTTTAGCGATATTACGCAGGGGGAAGAAGGCAGTTCTAGTAACGTTTTTAATGTGGAGGATAAAAAACATGTCCTAAACAAAAGACTGAGGAAGTCTTCCGGATGAAAGACGAAACGTTTCTACATTTTTTTGTTGTTTTGCTTTGTTTTGTTTTTTGAATGTCCTGAGGACCAGATTTAACTTTTTTAGATAGTGTGGCCTAAGTTAAGTTTTAGGGTGGAAAAAAATCACTATCCAATATGAAATGATGATTATAATCACTCCTTCTTACAAACCGGATTCCAAAAGAGTTGGGACACTAAACAAATTGTGAATAAAAAACTGAATGCAATGATGTGGAGATGGCAAATGTCAATATTTTATTCGTAATATAACATAGATGACAGATCAAAAGTTTAATCTGAGTAAATGTAACATTTTAAAGGAAAAATATGTTGATTCAAAATTTCACAGTGTCAATAAATCCCCAAAAAGTTGCGACAAGTAGCAATAAGTGGCTGGAAAAAGGAAATTGAGCATATAACGAACAGCTGGAAGACCAATTAACACTAATTAGGTTAATTGACAACGTGATTGGGTATAGAAAGAGCTTCTCAGAGTGTCAGTGTCTCTCAGAAGTCAAGATGGTAAGAGGATCACCAATTCCACCATTGTTGCGCAGAAAGATAGTGCAGCAATACCAGAATGGTGTTACCCAGCGTAACATAGCAAAGACTTTTAAGTTATCATCATCAACCGTGCGTAACGTCATCAAAAGATTCAGAGAATCTGGAACAATCGCTGTGCGTAAGGGTCAAGGCCGTAAAACTCTACAGGATGCTCGTGATCTCCGGGCCCTTAAACGTCACTGCACCTCAAACAGGAATGCCACTGTCAAGGAAATAACAGAATGGGCTCAGGAATACTTCCAGAAAGCATTGTCAGTGAACACAATCCACCGTGCCATCCGCCGTTGCCAGCTGAAACTCTACAGTGCAAAGAGGAAGCCATTTCTAAGCAAGCTCCGCAAGCTCAGACGTTTGCACTGGGCCAGGGGTCATTCAAAATGGAATGTGGCAAAACGGAAGACTGTTCTGTGGTCAGATGAGTCACGATTTGAAGTTCTTTATGGAACACTGGGACGCCATGTCATCCGGACCAGAGAGGACAAGGATAGCCCAAGTTATCAACGCTCCGTTCAGAAGCCTGCATCACTGATGGTATGGGGTTGCATGAGCGCTTGTGGCATGGGCAGCTTGCATGTCTGGAAAGGCACCATTAATGCAGAGAACTATGTTCAGGTTCTAGAACAACATATGCTCCCATCTAGACGTCATCTCTTTCAGGGAAGACCCTGCCTTTTTCAACACGATAATGCCAAACCACATTCCAGCAATCACAACATCATGGCTACATAGGAGAAGTATCCGGGTACTGAAATGGCCAGCCTGCAGTCCAGATCTTTCACCTATAGAGAACATTTGGCGCATCATAAAGAGGAAGGTGCGACAAAGAAGGCCCAAGACGATTGAACAGTTAGAGGCCTGTATTAGACATGAATGGGAGAGCATTCCTATTTCTAAACTGGAGAAACTGGTCTCCTCTGTCCCCAAACGTCTGTTGAGTGTTATAAGAAGAAGGGGGGATGCCACACAGTGGTAAAAATGGACTTGTCCCAACTTTTTTGGGATTTGTTGACGCCATGAAATTTGGAAACAGATTTTTTCCTTAAAATTATACATTCTCTTAGTTTAAACTTTTGATCTGTGATTTGTGTTCTATTCTGAATAATATATTAGACGTTGGCACTTCCACATCATTGCATTCAGTTTTTATTCACAATTTGTTTAGTGTCCCAACTTTTTTGGAAACCGGTTTGTACTAATGGCCTAGCATAAAGCAATATGATCATCATCCATCATGTTTATTAGTAACTTAAAATGCCTAATTAAAACTCCAGTAATGGGCTAGGTCTACTGTAACCTTACCCAGCTGTAGGGTCAAGAGACAAACATGTAGCATTAACACAGTATGAACAACATTCAGGAATTGTTTCTATTAGAAAATTATCACATATTTTATGTGAACTGTAACATTGCTTCGCCCACAAAGAAATGTAACCCAGGGTGAGCTAATCTCGGATAAACTAACCTCGGATAAACTAACAAACAACATAGCTGTAATGGTGGAGGTAGTGAAGCTCATGGTGTTACCTGAGGCATTTAGTGAGGCATTTATTTCTTATCAAACAACATTAAAGCAAAGAAGATGGGAGAAAAAATCCAAGCTACTAATAACTTCAAATAGTTACTGCAGTGGATATCATGCCACAGAGCGACGCAGGGCAATAACTCACTGTGAAATTCAGTATGCAAGAGTATTTTTTACATTACACAACCTATTAAACATTTTGTACAAAATCAGTTTAGTTGCATCCAGATATATACCGAGCACTACTGTTTGCTAAGACTTAAAACTATAAAAATGGCCTCTAGTCATGGGATTAGCTTACTTACCGCCTTTGTTAGACGTCATATGACCGTAAACTTCCATGATAAATCCACAACGCCAAACATTATTCCTCAATATGCGATGAAATATGCAGTATAAAGTTTGGAAAACGCTAGAAAACAAGGAGGTTGCTTGTAGCTACTTAGCGTCTTTGCATGTTGGCGCCAAAACTGTAGAAGACGCTGATTGGCTGGAATGAAAGTTCGCCTGTGATTTCATTGGTTGAATTTTTTACGTCTTCGAAAACTTTTGTTGTCGCTACACAAGTCACATGACACAGTCTGCACGCATTTTGTGTGCTGCATACAGACAGATTGTAGAGACCGCTGTGCTCGGGCTGACAGTTTATTATAAAAGCTTATTATAAAGCAGGAGATAACCAGATATTTTGCTTGGGCATTTGCCCGGTTGCCCATATTGTTAATCCTGCCTTGTGGCCAGTCTGCAACTGCGCAGCATATATTTTCTTGTGCGCAAAGAATGTGCGATCAGTGCGTGATTGCGCAGGCGCACATCTTAGAGGGAACAATGTTCGAGAAGTTTCCTGGGCCGGCAAACAGAGTTCAGATTGACCGATGAGGCTGGAAATAATCCTGGTCCAGTTCTTATCAGCTTTCTGCATCCATTGAGCGCCAAAGTCATTATGAATAAGGAACAAACGTTTTAGTCAGGTTTGGATTCAATCAAAACTTTTCCTCAATTTTGGCAGAAAGCAGCGGCCGGAAGCACTGTTGTTTTCTGGGCAGTATAGTTCTTTTGACTGGTGATACAGTATAGGCTTATTGAAAGAAAACTACAAAAAGGTGGCGCCTGTCCCAAGTTTTTTTTATTTAATTTTTTATTTCTACTGTCCCAATCACATGAGTAATATTAAAGTTGACAATCGTTGAAAAACAAAACGCGAGAGAGCGAGTCCTCGAAAGTCAAACCGAGAAGTAGCGAGGGACTACTGTACTGCTAGTATCACACAGCCCTCTGTGAATAGCAAGCAGCCATCAGTCGTTAGGCTGATGGTCCTCTTTATCATGTGAACAGCTAATTGTTGATGTCAACAACAAACTGACTGATCCACTATGTGAAGGTTTTATTTATAAGACTGAGTTTGTTGCAGCTCCTCAGACTGAAGAAGTCTTTTGGATTAAAGACAAAACGTTTCAACAAGTTTAAATTTTTTTTTTTTTTTTTTATCGTCCAGAGGACCTGGCTTAACTTTGTTAGATTTTTCTATCTGGGTTATTGAGCAAGCATCAGGATATCCTAAGGCTTGCTCAATAACCCAGGTAGAAAAATCTAAAAAATTTAAGTCTGGTCTTCTGGACATTCAAAAAACAAACCAAAACAAATAAAAGCATCAGGATATTTGCTCCTTTTAGATTTTCTTCTTTTTGCTATAACGTTAATTCAGTTTTAGCTTCTTCAGCGAACTTCTGTCAGCACTCGGCATTCATGTTGCAGTTTCAAAGAAAATGCAATTTCCTTCATGTCTTCTTGTCTCTCTGTCTCACATTTGCCTCCTTGTCTTTTTTGTTTTGTTTTTGTTCGTTTGTTTCTCTCGTTAGGACCCAACCTATCTGGAGAAAAGAGATCGTTGCGAGTACCTGAAGAACAAGCTGTCCCACATCAAACAGAAGATCCAGGAGTACAGCAAGACCACAGACTAGAAATGTAATCTTTGAACTCTGTCGTCTGATTTAGATGCAGCAGTCTGACCTTCAAAGGCTCATTATCAGATTCTTATTTTTAGATGGATCAAAGGAGAAACCTTGAACCCCAACAGTGTGATGACATTTTAAATGAACCAGTTAGATTTTTCTTTTGATTACTAGTTTTACCGGATGACAAATATTCATTTGTTCCCAGCATAGAATAACTTTGAGATGAGGTGGTTTTTCTGAAAGACGTCAGAGCAGGTTGTTGGTACCACTAGAGATTGAACTTGCTTCACAGAACAATAGATTTATCAGGGCGTTAACAGGATGACAGTAAGACTTACAGTTTCATTTGGACAAAGTGTGTCCACACATTTAACACAAGGGAAATACACCCATTGTATGAGGATGCAGACAAGTTTCTTGGGGCCCTGATTGGAGGGATGGTATCTGTTGTGAATCACAGCATGAAGGTTCAGCTGCTGACCATAGAGCCTGATTCTTTTTACTATGAATTGTTTTAACATGTGCTAAAGCATTAACTTGTATTTTTTTAACAAATACTATGCAGAATGTGAAATGTTTCTCTCCACAGAGAGCAGCTTACCATGTGTTTACTTCACTCTTCTCTCATTCGTTTGGATTTCATCTGTTTGTTTGTTTTTTGTTTTTTTTAATTAATGATGGTATTTCATATTGTTAGTGCCAATAAAAAAACTTTATGATTTGTGTTTAATTTGTTGTTATACCATACCATACCACACACAAAACATACAACAAAATACCAAACTCCCACACCCTATCAGCTGCACAGACATGAACATATTAAACAAGCATTGACATATTTTGAACATAGGATACAAATGTCTGCCAAGTGCCCCAAAATCTCTTAACTGAATCTTCCAGAGTATATCTATCTTTTCCAGATGTACAGGATACATGACTTCGCTTATCCAGTGTTCTTATGCCGAGAGATGTGAATCCTTCCATAAGTCTCCTGGCTAGAAGAGAGCTATAAACAATCATATTCCTCTCACACTTACTGAAGGATGTATGGGACCACTCCAAACAGTGAGATGAACGGTGATGGGCGAACAGTTTTTCCACATATCCCAGAGAAGGTGTCAAAAATAGATTGCCATTAGGTCTGCAGTTTGGGACAAGTCCAGAATGTGTGCAAGAGTGTAGCTGGAGTTTGTTTACAACGATTACATGCGGGGTCCAAGTCTGCCTTGATCTTGGAACAGCTTGTCTTTGGACAAGTGCAGCCAGTGCACCACCTTGAATTGAATTACAGTATGTCTCAGACAGATTGAGGATGAGTAAATGTTCTTAATCTTTCACCACATTGAGTCTGATGCAGGTTCCTCCAAGTCCATTTCCCATTTCAGTTTAAGGGAGTCCAAACTGGTCTCATTATATGAACTGAGCAGTGTATAGATCTTGCTGAGAGCCCCCTTGGTATCAGACCTGCATTCCAAAATCTTAACCACAAAATGTTTAGAGGGGTACAAAGAAAAATAATCCACATTAGACCTCACAAAATGTTTCAGTTGCAGATATCTGAAAAACTGTGACTTATGGATATTGTTTTTTATGGATTGTTTTTTTTTTATTTAGGCCTGTATTTTGTATTGTTGTAAAACACTTTGTGATTTTATCTATAAAAAGTGCTATATAAATAAAGTTTATTTACTTGCTTATTAAACTTCTGTACCAGCTGCTCAAAAGAGGCAAACATCATCAACATAGAGATATGGTGAGTGATTACAATAGTTTTATTAAAATTTGTTCAGCAACTCACGAGCTATAACTAAAAGTACAAATAAACTCACACAAAGACCAAAACATTATACTCTGCGCTTGATCAAAATTCACCAGTGCTCCTCTGTGTTCATATTTTTAATTATACATCAAACCATGACACAAGTTTCAGATGACTCACTGTCGGACCAATCCCTTGACCTGTCGTCAATGTATTCTCTGACTTTTGTTCCCGTTGTGCTCATAGAACTTCCATTTTCATCTTTCTGTGATTTAATGAACAGCCCTGACTCTGCCCTAAAACGGCTGCTGTCTGACTGTTTCTTGGAAGACTGGTTTTGTTGGAGGAGAACTGGTTTGGTAGGATTTAGTAGTAATGGATGTTTTCATTTTCACAACCCTAGAGGCATTTTAGTAATGTGTTCTGTCAAAAATCAGGAGCATAACAGAAGAAGAGGATGAAGCCTGTGTTTTGCATCTGGTTTGACTAAAGTGGGCGGGGCTGGATCTAGATCCCCCACTTTGCCCATCCAACAAAAATAGGCTAATTTTTAAACTTTTTTCTTGTTTAATTTTCTTTACTTAAAAAATAAACATAAAAAAATTATAAATTTCTGTTATCAATAATTAACTTAAAAAAAATAATTAAAATTTGGCTATATTTAAGTCGTGCAGGCAACAGGTCCAGTAAGAAACCCCAGATCTGAGTATTCTCTGTGGTCTCATAGTGGGATGTGCCCAGAACACATGGACTTTCTGATGACATGTTGGTATTCACATCAGTACAAACAATTTAGTGTGTGTGTACAGAAATGCCTAAACTATTGTATATTTGAGTATTTTTTAAAAGCCATTCAGTGTATATTGTATAGACCCTATTGTATACCAATAATTAATTTATATCTGGAAGCACTGACGCTGAAGGTCATGGCCCACAGACAACAACAAAACCAGATCAAATGCAAAAAGCAGAAATGAGACCCTGAGATTCTCAAACCAGCCATTCTCCTCCATGACTGGGTCTCAAGATTCTGTCCATGAACACTACAAACAGGATTGGAGACAAGGGACAGACCTGATGGAGTCCAACCAACACTAGTAACTCGACTATGTGGCATAAAGGTGGACACAGCTCCTGCTTTGACGTTCAGGTAACGCACAACACTTAAAAGTGACCTGGTACCCCCACAGAATGCCTTGTGGAGCACAGTCATAAGACTTCTTGGAACTACAAAATACATGTAGACTGGAGAGCCAAACTTCTATGACCCTCTTAGCGACTTTGCAAGGATGATGATCTGGACCACTGTTCCACAGTCAGGAAAAAGGACACGCTGCTCCTCCTGAATCCAAGTTTATCACAATCGGTCAGAGCACCCTCGAGTAGGACTAAGCTTCACTGGTCAGGCTGAGAAGTGATCCCATCCCTCAATGGTTGGAACACACTCGAACAATCATGGACCACTACCCCAGTCTGCTGCTCCACAGCCAAAAAAATTTTCTTTCTTCTTCTTCTTTTGGTTTTTCCCTCTTCAGGGGTCTCCACAGCATGTCATCTTCCATGCTCCTCCATCTCACTCTGTCCTCTGCATCCTCTGTCCTCACTCCAACTACCTCCACGTCCTCTCTAGCTGGATCCATATACAGTGTCTCCTCTTTGTCTTTTTCCTGGCAGCTGCATTTCTAACATCCTTCTACCAATATACCCACTGTTCCTCCTCTGGACATGTCCAAAACCACTGTCCCTCCTCTGGACATGTCCAAACCATCTCAGTTTGGCCTCTCTAACTTTATCTCCCAATTGTTCAACCTGTGCTGTACCTCTGATGATCTCATTCCTAATCTTATCCATCCTTGTCACCCCTAAGAAGAACCTCAACATCTTCATTTCTGCCACTTCCAGTTTTTTCTCCTGTTTTTTGGTCCATGTCTCTGTCTCCAGACCATACAACACAGCTGGTCTCACCACTGTCTTGTAAATGTTTCCTTTGATCTTTGCTGACACCTTTTGTCAGAAATCACTCCTGAAACTTTTCTCCATCCACTCCATCCTGCCTGGACTCTCTTTTCACCTCTTTACCACACTCCCCATTTTCCTGGACAGTCACTGTTCCACTTCCTCCCTCTCATTCGCACACATGTGCTCTGTCTCACTACGGCTGACCTCCACTTCTTTCAAGTGCATACCTCCACCTCTCCAAGTTCTCTTCCACCCGTTCCCTATTCTCACCACAGATCATCATGTCATCTGCAAACATCATAGTCCATGGGGATTTTCTACAGTCCATAGACAAAAATATATAATAAAAAGAATAGCAGAACAAGTTAAATGTTACACAAGGCTAAAAAGGGAATATTTGCAAATGGCCATTTATACTCTACATTCATAATAAACTTTTTTTTTCATATTTTCCATGGATTTTATAGTTATGATCAATTTTGTGACCAAATCAAACCCACTTTAATTTCTGACACTTTCACTCGGACTGATCCATGGTTTAAATGGTTTCACTGGGTGGAAACGAGGACTTGTCCTAGTGACGCCTCCACCTCAGCAGGGATGTTTTCAAGCTTGGCAATATATCTGAAGGGATGTTTTCAAGCTTGTCACTATGTCTGAAGGGATGTTTTCAAGCTTGCCAATGTGAATTTATGGGATGTTTTCAAGCTTGTCAAAGTGTCTGATGGGATATTTTCAAGCTTCCCACTACGTCTGAAGGCAAGTTTTCAAGCTTGCCAATATGTCTGATGGGATGTTTTCAAATATTGCCACAATGTCTGAAGGCAAGTTTTCAAGTTTGCCAATGTGTCAGAAGGTATGTTTTAAGCTTTCCAATGTGTCTGAAGCAATGTTTTCAAGATTGACAATATGTCTAAAGTGATGTTTTCAAGCTTGTCAAAATGTATGAAGTAATGTTTTCAAGCTTGCCACTACATCTGATGGGATGTTTTCAAACTTGCCAATTTTGTCTGAAAGGGTGTTTTTAAGCTTTCCACTATATGTGGAATTATGTTTTCAAGCTTTCCACTATGTCTGAAGGGATGTTTTCAAGCTTTCCACTATGTCTGAAGGGATGTTTTCAAGCTTGCCAATGTGTCTGAAGGGATGTTTTCAAGCTTGCCAATGTGACTTTATGGGATGTTTTCAAGCTTGGCAATATATCTGAAGGGATGTTTTCAAACTTGCCCATATATCTGAATTCATGTTTTCAAACTTGCCAAAATGTCTGATGGGATGTTTTCAAACTTGCCAATTTTGTCTGAAAGGATATTTTCAAGCTTTCCACTATATCTAAAATTATGTTACACAAGGCTAAAAAGGGAATATTTGCAAATGGCCATTTATACTCTACATTCATAATAAACTTTTTTTTTCCTATTTTCCATGGATTTTATAGTTATGATCAATTTTGTGACCAAATCAAACCCACTTTAATTTCTGACACTTTCACTCGGACTGATGCATGGTTTAAATGGTTTCACTGGGTGGAAACGAGGACTTGTCCTAGTGACGTCTCCACCTGTCCAGGTGAGTTTGACTCACTGAGTGAAAACATGTTGGACTGAAACTGAGCAGCTTTCTGTGAGGAAACAGACATGGTTTCCTGGGACTGGAGGGCGTGGAAGCCTTTCCTCGTGTTCGGAATGAGGACAGGTTAGTCCGGTACGTCAGGAAAAGGAGATCACGTGACGCGCACCTGCACCTGTAGGGTCGCGCGCTCGATTGTGTTCCTGTTTATTGTCGCAGCTTTGTTCTCTGGCAGCAGTTTCATCCTCAGGTGGGTTCGTTCTTTCTGTTTTACGCAACAATGGAAGAGAAGATGAGCAGGCTTATGTCTGACATGGGTTTACTCCATTTATTTTTTAATATATTATTAAGGATGAATATCCATTTCTTTACCTGTTAGTCCGTCGATTGATCGGCTGGATGGAGTAAAATGTGAAATATGAGTTTAAATCATATGAGAGGGTTTAGGTGGGTTTGTTGTTTTGGTTTTTCACTAGTTATATGAAAGTGATGAACTTAGTTAAAATCTTCAAATGTGACAAACATCAGCTCATGTGGGATTAAAACCGAGCAGACGAAGGTGTTCCTCAGGGATAACTAATAGGATTTACACACCTGACGGCTATCTCTCTCCGGCTGGATCTATCTCATAAAGTTGTTTCAGACTCTCAAAGAGCTTCTGTTTTCTTGCTTTCATCTGGAGACCAGCAGCTCACTGATGATGATGATGATGATTTCTTCAGAACTACAGCAGCTTTCCATCATTCCTGTCAAATGTAGCGGCCTGCCAGGGAGCAGAAGTGTCACGCCCTGTGCTGTTTACACTGCAGACGCACTTAAATCCTCTTTGATTCATTTCTAAGGTCTCATTATTAAACCCCACTTGGTACATTTATTATCTAATCAAAGAGGCCAAGCATTCCTTGAAGGAATGCATATCAGCATCATCATCATGGTCATGGTCATCATCATCATGCGACAACTGAGAACATGTGTTAGGAGTGAGCTGGCACCAGATCAACGTTTAGCCCAATATTTTTAAAAAAAGGACAGAATGGTTGGCATTTTTGTTGAATAATGTTGATTATCTGTGGTGGCCATCTTGAACTAGAGAAATTGCATTTCCTGCGAAAATGCAGTGAATGCTTATTGCTGAAGAACTTGCAGAAAAACAGCTGAAATTAGCTAAAAACATGCTGAAATGTAGCTGAACTGGAAGAGCAAGCCTAAGTTAGCAGAAAAAAGCAGAAAGAAAATATATTTGCTGAATTAGGTTTAAAAAACGCAGAAATGAGCACAAAAATGAGTACATTTGCTTAAAAAGCTGAAGTTTGCAAGGCTTAGATCGGCTGATATATCACTGAGATATAACTGAGTAAATAATCTAGGGGGCACACTTGAGTCGTATGTTAAACCACAATATCAATATTTCTAGACGTGCTCACTGATTATGCATTAAAAAATCTGGTTCCGATCGGATGTTGTAACACTGAGATATAACTGTTGTAATAATGTAGGGAGCGTACTTACCAATGTGTTTTTATAAGTGTTCACTGATCACGCACAATAATAATAATATTAGTTATTATTATTAGTTATTATTATTTTCTTCATGCATCATGAAGGACCTCACTCACCCTGCACACACACTTTTTGCCCCACTCCCCTCAGGAAGGAGGTTAAGGAGCATTAAGTGTAGAACCACTAGACTGAGGAACAGCTTCTACCCTGAGGCTGTTAGACTCATGAATCTCTAACTAGAATAATCACTGTGAAAAATCACATGTTGCTGCTGATCTGTTTCATGTTGCTGCTGATCTGTTTCATGTTGCTGCTGATCTGTTTCAATGTTGATGTGTTCATGCGTGCTCATCTGCTCACACAGACTCATGTTCATGTTTGTGCTGATGTTCAATGTTTTTATGTTATGAGTGCTTAGTGTATATTTAGTTGATGTTTTTCTTAGTTCATATCTTAGATGTTATTACTGTTTTTCTTATACATTTTATTGTTGGATGTAACTGGGACCCTGTGTACATAATTTCGCTCTGCCACATGTACCACATGAGGTGCGAATGACAATAAAGAAACTCTGACTCTGACTCTGATAAATCTGGTACATATTGGATGATATTTCACTGAGATATAACTGTTGGAATAATGTAGGGGGCGCACTGGAGTCAAAAGTTAAAATACAACACCAATGTGTCTAGAAGTGTTCACTAAAGATGCACCCAAAATGTGGTTCAGATCAGATGATATAACACTGAGATATACCTTTTGGAATAATCTAGGGGGCTCACTCGAGTCAAATGTTAAATAACAACACAAATGTATATAGAAGTGCTCACTGATCACGCACCAAAAATCTGGTGCGGATAGGATGATGTATCATTGAGATATAACTGTTGGAATAATCTAAGTGGCACACTAGAGTCATATGTTAAACCACAATATCAATGTGTCTAAAATTCCTCAATGATGATGCACAATAAATCTGGTGCAGATCGGATGTTGTATCACTGAGCTATAACTGTAGGAATAATGTAGGTGGTGCAGTGGAGGCTATTGGCCACTTTTCATGGATACCTGTTCAAGGGGTGGATAATGATCGATCAGAGTGATTTTGGTGCACCTCGGCTGAAATCTGTGCAATTTAGAGCCAAACGTATTGCAACGGCTTCACTTAATTCTCCACGCCACCATGCCCACATCTTCAAGCAAAAACGGTTTGCGCTTTAAATCAAGTCAGACCATATTATCTGTCTTCTAACACAGGATCATCCTGATTAGGTCAATGGCGTAAAAGAGGGAGCATTCCAAATTAAAAAAGAGACTTCCTGTTCTGACAGGGTGGGACTTTGATGACGTCAAAATATGACCACAGTGAATCATCGGTCATCCAACAGGGATGAGTCATGCCAAGTTTCGTGCATTTCGGTCTTTCAATGTGAAAGTTAGTGTTTGAAAATTTATGGCGTGAAGCAAAACTTTGAGGCCTGGCCACGCCCCTTTAACATATACGAAAATGCAAAATTTATATAGCTTTTACTCTCCGATGTCTTAAGGACATATCAACCAAGTCTGAAGGCAATCCTTCAAAATTCCTATGAGGAGTTCGTTAAAATTCGCAATTAGAAACGCCCCAAAATGACCCTTTGACCCAAAATGGCCGACTTCCTGTTGGTTTTGGACCAGGGCTCCAAGAGACTTTTTCATAGATCCTGAGAAGATACAGATATTCAGAGTTTCAGAATTATCGGTCAAAAAATGGCTTGGGGCTCAGGTTTTAATATATTGTAGGGGGCACTGTGGAGGCTATTGGCCACTTATCATGGATACCTGTTCAAGGGGTGGATAATGATCGATCATACTGATTTTGGTGCACCTCGATTCAAAACTGTGGAATTTAGAGCCAAACATATGGTGACGGCATTACATCTTACTTAGCCACGCCGCGCCGCGCCGCCCACATGCTCCACCCAAAACTGTCAGTGTTGGAAAGCAAGTTACACTAACATGTCTTCGGTCACTGGACACACTATCATGCTGATCAGGTAACAGGGGTCAGATAGGGTTCGTTCAATGTAAAACTTCATACTTCCTGTTGTCAGGGGGTGAGGCTTTAGTGATGTCATGATTTGACCATTCAGTCTTGCAGGGGACCTGATGTGGATCAATCACTGAAGGTTTGATGTCTCAGACAGTTTTCTTGTAGGAGCTATTAGCGTTTTGTTTTTCATGGCGAGATGTCAAACTTTCAGGTCCCCGCCCCTTCAGCATGCTCCGAAACGAGATGTTTAGGTAACTTTGCGTCCCCCATGCCTTTTGACCAAAATGGGCAAGTTTGAAGCCGATTGAGTGGAATCCCTAGGAGGAGTTTGTTCAAATGCATAGGTTGTAAACCGTCAAAAAGGTGTTAAAATTGGGCCGGCATTCCAAACTGGCTGCCTTCCTTTTTATCGTACAATGTTGGTGCCTGAGGGTTTTCTGTGCGCCTTGGGGAATTGGACAAACGTACCAAATTTCATGTTTCTACGACAAACTAAGGTTAATGCGGAGGGTATTTTGAAAATTTCTAGGTGGTGCTGTTGAGCCATTTCTGTTGCAATTTTTGCCACGCCCTTAAAATCCGTAATTTTTTACCAGTCCTGATGCGTCTGCCAAATTTGGTGACTTTAGGGATATGGTAAGGCCCCCAAAATGCCAATTCATTTGGCGGAAAAAATTGCAGCTTGGGCCTGAACAGAACGATTATAATAGGCCTTCGCAGTGCTTCACTGCTCGGGCCTAAAAATATGTCTTCAGAGAAGATTTAAAAACAGGAAGTGATGTCAAAGGTATCTCGTTCCACAGTTTAGGGGCAGCAACTGAAAATGCTCGGTCACCTCTCAGTCTCCTGTTAGACTTTGGAACGACCAACAGCAAATACCTGCACAAATAAGCATCAAACATTTCTATTGTTTTAATAAATAATCAAAATTTTATTAATAACCCAATTAAACTGTCAAACAGATTTGCAATTAGTTGTGCTGCTTAATTATATTTTTGAGTTTTTTAATAAAAATGCGTGATGACTTTGGACTTTTAGGGGCGGATATTTGAATTACTGGATACGAGCAAACATTTGCCGGAACGCACACGGTCACAATAAGGACGTTTCTGGATCCTGTTCTGGCAGGATCCAGCTCAAATTAAGCACTGATGATGTCCCAGTAGCTTTCAAACCCCAAAATACATTACGGCAAAGACTGGTCCATCCCAAAGATCCAGTCCCCCGGCACAAACAGAGTAAAGTTGTGTATGTTGTTCAGTGCCAGGAGGGTGATCAGTCTTACATCGGGGAAACTAAACAGTCACTGGGGAAAGGATAGCCCAACACAGAAGAGCAACATCATCAGGCCAGGACTCTGCAGTCTAAACTCATCTCCAGGCCAGCGGTCACTCGTTCAAGGATGAAGAAGTTCACATCCTTGATAGAGATGAACGATGGTTTGAGAGAGGAGTACAAGGAGGCTATCTTTGTGAAATGAAACCATCCATCATTAAACAAGGGTGGAGGCCTCCGTGTTCAACTGTCGCCCTCTTATAATGCTGTTATTGCTAGTATCACTCAGCCCCCTGTGAATAGCAAACAGCCATCAGAACAATAACGATCAAGAACAAGAAGAATCTGTCCAGAGGACCTGACTCAAACTTATGTTACACAGTTGCATTGGTGTTTCAGTATTTTTCAGAAACATTAACATGAAATTTTATTGTTTTCACAGATCATTGAGTGGATTACTTGGATCAGGAGTCTCAGGATGCCGAGCCACAAACATAGCAGCCCAAATGGAAGCAAATAGTACGATAACTCTTGTTTTATCACCTCAGCTATCAAACACACCTGTTATAAATCACACCCCACATTGGATTTATTCATTTGTTCTTTAACAAAAATTTGTCTGCTGCTAGACTGTAGGAGAATATCTAGGCTCAAGTTGCTTTAGCATTTATTTCTCAGTATTTAACTAACCAAAAAATTGTATTTTTAATTTCTTCTTGCTTCTATATATATATATATACTGTGTGTGTATGTATATATATATATATATATGTGTGTGTATGTATATATATATATATGTATATGTATGTGTGTATATATGTATATGTATGTGTGTATATATGTATGTGTATGTGTGTATATATGTATGTGTATGTGTGTATATATGTATGTGTATGTGTGTATATATGTATGTGTATGTATATATATATATAGGTATGTGTATGTATATATATATGTATGTGTGTGTATATATATATATATATATATATGTGTGTGTATGTATATATATATATATATATATATGTGTGTGTATGTATATATATATATATATATATGTGTGTGTATGTATATATATATATATATGTGTGTGTATGTATATATATATATATATATATGT